AAAATCCTGGCAAAATATTTGAGGTTTAATCCTTGTTATCCTTTTTAATCCCTGATGTCCTTTCACTGGTTGGATACCAGGCTTGCATAAAGTCCTGTGAAATGTTTGAATGTGTTCCAAAAGGTTGTGTTTGGGTTTTTATAAGAAAGTTTTTGTAACAGAATGATGTTCTGTTACTCTGCTGAAATATTGGTGAACTGCTCCTAACACAAAATGTTAATTTTGACTCTTCAGGGAATAGGTTTCTTTTAAGCCTTGTGTTAAGAAGATAGAGACAGTGTTTTTTGAAACTGGAACTGACATTCCAAAGCATAGTGTTACTTTTGATGATCAGAAGATGATAACATCAGAAATATCATTCTATGTTGTTGCTGAGGTGGGCTGAGGTGATAGAGGGGATTGGAGGGATGCAGTGGAAGTGTCAGAGCAAATAAGAAAGTCCTAAAAATAAGAAAAAGCTGTCAAAATAAATACATGTCTTAACTGTATATAAATTATCACTTTAATTTTAGGTTGGAAGAGGAAGACAAACTGCTAAATGCTGAGAGTTATTATAAAAAAGCCTTAAGTTTGGATGATACTTTTCAGGAAGCAGAAGAGGCCTTAACCAAACTCCGTAAGCACATGCAGGTGATTCTTTACTTTCTATCTGGTGCTCTCATTGACCACAGGTGAACATCAAAATTCATTTTAAGTCTTCTGGACAGTGAGGGTTTAGATTGATGGTTTGTCTTATTCTCTGCTTCCCTACTCCACAGTAAATCTTTTCTAGTGAGCATTATGGCTGTACCTACCAGAAGAAAGGTACCTCTTATGTCTCCATTGTTTTGAAAAGGATAGTTAAGAAATGCCAGGCAGTGGAGAGAGGGAAAGACAAAAGCAGGGATAAGAATATCCCATCACACAAGCATGATTAATGTTAACTTAAAACATTCCATGAACACAAACATGCAAAGTGTGAAACACTTCATGCAAACCAAATAGGCATTGACACTGTAGTACTAGCCAGATCCTTGGCATGTGGGGAAAGATAGATTAATACCAGGCAAAGCTAAGGCACAGGGAGATCATACGAGAGTGGAAATCAAGAGGTAATTGAAAGGCAAACAGCAGGAGGTGGAGGGTGGGTGGGCAGACAGTTTGAATACCTCAGCTTTCTCCTCTGCTGTCTGGTGGTTTTTTCTCTCTTCTCTTGCACGCAGCATGTTTCCCAGGTGAGCCTGGTGGGTCTCTGTGCTAATCTGAGTTGTCATCTTTTGCCTTTTATTTACCTCCTTTGCTTGTGTTGTTTTCCAGCGTGGGTCAAAGAGTAAAATAGAGCACTGAGGAACATTCTCGTTTTGTTCTGTGCTTCTGCATGCGAGGACATACATAGTCTGGGGTAGATGGCCTTAGTCAGCAGTTCTTCAGTTGGTGGAGCCATAATGCTGACAGGTTGTGTGGAAAGAAGGGGGAAGAGGAGATAGGACAATCTTCTAATAAAACTGCACTACATCATGGATAACTGGGTGTCTGGGCAGTGTCAGTTAATGATGAAGAATATTCTCAGCAAATAGGAGATATATTTTTTCTCCTTTAACATTTTCCTATGGTTGTTGTTGTAGCAGATAAAGATAGCTGTTGTTTGTTGGTGTGCATGGCCTTGGCTGCAATGAAGAGTTTCCTTTATTATAGCTGTTAAGACAGTTGCTGAGTTTTCAAACCATAATCAGACTTCCTGCTCACTCCAGGCCTTGATAGAGCTACTCTGTAGAGCTGTAGGTGGCAGAAGTCTGATGATCTCTTACAGACTTAAGTAGTTTGAGGATTCATCTGGTGAGATTCATCTGCATTTACCTGTGTTTTAATGCATAAGTCTGATACTGTCCTGTGCTAGAATGGCTGAAATGACACTCAAGTGTGTTTTCCTGTAATACTGATTATGTGTTTTTCTCCAATGCATTTTCCTCTGAATGGGACCATTGTTGCTGTGGCTGACATCTGGTGCTGCTCATCACCACCAAACCCCTGGAACGTGATTTCTTACGTAAACTATGCGTCAAACTGGTCTGTGAAATTGTTACCCAATGGTTTGTATTCAAACATGGCCAACTTCGATTCGCCTTGCACTGGGTTCTGCCATGTTTCACTTGTAAACTACAATAATGATGATAATGATACTTTCCCTCAAACTTTTTTATGGTTTTGGTTGGGTTTTTTTCTTCTTTTCTACATGTTGCTAATATCGGGGATATTTTGCATATTCTCTGTATAACTTTGGGGCTCCCTGCCTCACCATGTGGTGGATCATGGGTACCACTGCAATGACTGGTCAAACATATTTTTTAATGGAATAAAAACTGCAATATGGTCCTTAAATATAAACCTGATTGTCACAATGGCCAATACCAAACTCCTGAACAATATTAATTTTTGATCTGGGAATCCTGCTAAAACATCCCTGGTGTAATTATACATCTGAATGGGGTTGAATGGGGGGAAAATACCCATGTTAACACTACTAATATAATTTTTTTTATGATGCTTGGGTTGAAAAAAGAAATCTTTGGAAATGAGGGAGAAACAAGCTGCCAAAGAAGAAAGACAGAAAGCAAAGAAAGTAGAAACAAGTGCAGAAAAATTGCGTAAGCTCTTAAAAGAAGAGAAAAGGTAACTGTTATATTCAGTGTATGGTGATGTGGCAATAAGTGCAGGCAAGACTGTGAACAACCCATACCAGACAGATTGTCCAACAGTAAGCTAGGGAGAACTTCTCCCTAGGTAAGATGCTTTTCCTCCAGAATGTTTGTGGGGGTAGTGTCCCTTAGTGCATATAACCTTTAGTGGAGGTATGTGTGGAAGAGGAGTTGTTTAAGGAATACTTTGGACCATGATGTGTTTGCAAAGTGTAATGCAAAAAAATGTGAAATTGGGAATGATGATTTTTATTACCAACTGTTCATTGGATGTAATCTTAATTTTTTGATCAAGAAACGACATTTGAAATTGTCTTGCCAGGTCAGGCTCAGTTTTCATTCACATAGTTTAGACTCTGGGGTATACAGATTTGCTTTTTACATATAAGTTTTGCCTAATACTGAAGATTTTCTCACAGGTTAATTACATTTTTTTAGGTTGAAGAAGAAAAGGAAAGTATCAACTTCCTCCTCCTCCTCCTCCTCCTCCTCTTCTTCTTCTTCCTCCTCCTCATCATCATCAAGTGATTCATCATCAGATGTATCAATTTCTTCTTCCTCCTCTTCCTCTGATCACAAGAAACATAGGAAAAAGCGTCGACATAGATCCGAGTCTGCTCGCAGCTCCAAAAGAAGCTCATCTAGAGCTTCTTCCCGTTACAAAGATCATAATAGGAATGAGGAGTGGTATTCGCCTCCGGCTGATACCTCTGCTTCCTTTCTTAACCAAAGTTTTGAAGTGGAGAAGCTGCTGGAAAGGCAGGACAGCTTAGCATGTCCAAAAACGGAGGTAAAAGAGAAAGACAGACACTGTTCTCTTTCGAGGACTTCAGGTGATGATGAAGACACTTTTGGAGGTAGGTCTGAAGATTCAAGAGATTCTTACAGTAGCTCCAGAAATCTGCCAAGTAGTAGCAAAACTGAAAAATATGGTAAACCGGATAGATTTTTCTCCAGTTGGAGAGGTTCCTCGGGTTCCTATCATAAGTCATATGATAAACCCAGGGTGCATTATTACAGGAGGTTTGAAAGGGACATGGAGGGGAGAAGAGAACAGTTTAGAAAACATGGCTCAGGTCAAGACAGGTATTACATGTCTCCATCAGGGTCTGACCACTCTGGCAAATCAGGGGGGAAGTACAGGTCATATTCTAGCACCTGCTCACGTGAAGGTGACAAAGGTTATGATAGTGACAGGTATGTGTCAGGGCAGCATAAAAATGAAAGTGAGTCTAAGACTAGGAAAAGAAGTTATGAGGAAACTGATAAAACAAAGGAACCAGAGGAGGAAATGTCTTTAAATGGTACAGAACAAACAGAAAGTGGCATTAAAAGAAACCTGCCCCAGAACTTAGTTAACATATTCAATCAAATAGCTGAGTTTGAGAGGGAAAAAGGAAGTAAGCAGAAGAAATAAAGTATTTGAGAAGACACTATTTGGCTGAGTGTAGTTAAATGAATGTTTAACTGAGTATCTTGTGAGGAAATGCGCATAAAGAGGGACAGAAGGGCAGAATTTGTTCTGTATTTCAGAATGTCAAAGAATTCTAAAACATCATATGGTGCAAAGAGATGAAAAGATACCTTATATAAAATATTATTATTTAAAATACAAGTTTCCTGTGCTCTTAATTTGAGGTGTTCCTGTACAATATTCTGTCTGATGGGTTGAAATCCTTGGGTAGCCCTGGACATAGTTAGCTGTGACTTGCATCAAACATGCACTTTAAGAACAGATGGGTTTGGTTCCAGGGTACTACGGACTGTGGATATTTTTCTATCAAACTTAAGTTCCAGCTATAGAAAAGGGATAACTGGACGAAATCATGTGCCATCAATGTATATAGCTGGTTTGATCATTAAATTTTCTTAATTTTTCTTAATTTTGTGTCTGGATTTTTGTTAATGTTGCTGGGGTGTTTTATAGTGGTGCACTGGTTCTCTGTGCTGCCTGACTGAATGGAACCTTGCCCTGTCTGTGAAGGCAAGTCTATTGCCTTCTTTAAATGCACTGTATGTTCTCTGAAAGTAATGTGAAAAACTCCCAACTGAAGTACAGAGTTTTACAACAGTGTTTATTGTCTAGGTAAGTTTGAGTACAAACCTTTGTTTTTGAGCTTTCTTGATAGGTATTTGTTCTACAAGGAGCTGATGTGTTGCTACAGAGAAAGTTGAACTCTGTTTACAGTGAGATCTGCAAAGGTGGGTAGCACAACCACACAGAAACAATTATACTTCAGCTGCAAGTTTTCCAGGTAACTCCATGGATATAGGTCAGTTGCAAAAATTCAGAAGTCTCAGCTGGTGTGGCCTTCAAAAGATGGCTTAACACACTTCTTTGCTTCTAAAAATACCCGAGGTGCTGGCTCTGCTGGATGGCTCTGAGCCACCAGCTGCTGCTTCTGTAGGAGTGGAGATTGACAAGGTCAGGTCTACGACTCTGATTGATGAAGCCTGAGTAGAGCCTGAACTTGTTCTTCTGGAGATTCTGAAAGGCAAAAGTTTATTCATCAGGATACAGAAATCTGTATCTAAACCAGCTGCCAGTGGTGGCTCAGAACAAAGCCACCCAGCAGTTGTGCTCCTTCTGGGTAAGATCCCCTTAAAAGATCTCTGTAGCCATTACCACCCATGGCTTCAGTAACCTCTGGGAATGTTGGATCACAACTGGTCAGCATGGTACAGGCAATATTTGAGCATACCTTGAACAGGGGAAGGTATCAAGAAAAGCATATATATCTTCTCTCTTTAATTAGGGGAGTTCACACTACCAACTGTAAAATGTGGCTCAAAATTGTGCTTTTTTTGTGAAAAACACTTTTTAATTAGAGCACAATTAACACAAGTAAATTCAATTATTCTGTCACTGTTTTATTTTTAAAACGTGATGAAGGCTGAAGTGAACTCAATCATTTAACTTAATAACACTGTTAAACATAAAAGGACGTATAAAGAGAAAGTTTTTATAGAGTCTTCAGGAAGTAGAGACAATTAAGCCCTTCAGGAGTGAGAAATTCTGTCAGGGACTAATTTTGATGGTTTATACTTTGAAGCCCCAAACCAACCCAGCAATGCTAATACTTACCTGGGAGGAGGTAGTGAGCTCTGTGTGCATGGTGATCGACAGTTTTGACTACCACCAGCAGAACTGATTGTAGGAAGCTCTAAATTGGACTAGAAAATGTGGAAAGAAAAAACAAGTTACCTAATGGTTGTATAATGGGTCTGGGATATCAGGAGGGTTTATAGTGCTTTGTATTTGAAGAGATGTTGAAAGCAGATGAACACTTTTTCCTGTTTTACTGTAAGTATATTGTTGAATTTAGGAGTTGCCCTTGAAAGACACTAGACTATCTCTAGTAGGCTGGAGCTGTCAATCAGGATTGTGGTGGCAGTTAACTGGAAAGCTCACCTGGGCAAAGTACAGCTGAAAGGGTTCAGTTAAATCAGGATGTGCTTCCAGAACATCAGCTAACACTTGGTCAACAGTTCTGCTGAAGCTTTTCAATTCACGAAGATCAAGGTCTCTTTTTTCCTGTGTTTCAGTTTTGTTCAGAGACTGAATTTCTCTGGATAGTCTGGAACACTTAACACAAATATATTTAAAGCACTGCTCTTACGAAAATGCAACACTTTATCAGAAACCTGCTAAGTTAAAACCACAGAGTTTAACCCACACTAGTGTCTATTGCTATAAAGTTAGAAGTTGTTATCAATAAATACACAAACCTGTTTCATAGCCCTTTCTAGTTTTGGCTTCTGTTCTTCAATGTCTCTGTTCAGCTGCAGAATAACAGCTTGTTTTTCCTTCTTCTGCACTTGGACGAATGCTTCCTTCTTCAGTACCACATCAAAATTTTGTTGCATGCTCTGCAAATTCATTTGAACAATAGTGTTATTTTATAAAGCAGTTTTGGTATCCTTTCACTTTTTGTATTAGTCTGTCTGTTATTGCTACTACTTGTGTCTAAATGCAGCTCCAGCAATTAGTGCTAATGATAAGATGACTCAAAACTTTCTTCCAGTCAGACCTGGCTAAAGCACTACCAGGTAATGTACTTGTCTTTTAAAGGTACATTTAATGAAGTTACAGTTATGTATTTTCAGATGTGCCTCTGAGCAGTGTCTACAAACAGTTTACTTGGCACAATACCAACCAGTGCAAGCTACCCTAAAAAAAACCCCTACATTGTTTCTGTGGGAACAGATGGATAACTTTGACGGGAATGAGTAGCACCAGCTCTGTAAGGGCAGCTCTGTTTTTCTAAAAAATAAAGACATAAAAATGTAGGAAAGGGTGTGCTGTAACACCACAGGATTTACTCCCTGATGAGCTGTGTCACTTTTCTTTACCTTAAGAAATAACATCTCTGAAGTAAGGGATCTATCCTGTGGTGGTAGGATAAACAATAGGAATGTTTGTTGACTGTAGCCAGTGACTGAGGGCTTAGACAAATCATGTGGGATATGACAGTGTGCCTTTGATTTCTTTTGCCTAACAAAATTATACCTGAAGTGTCACACATCAGGATTAAGTGCTGCTCTTTCTGAAGGTCCAAGTGGCTTTTTTGATAGCACAGATGTGTCCTTGCTGTGCAGCCTGAACACAGGCTCTCCTTTAGCTGTGTTTGGGTGCTCAGACTGCTAAGTTACAAGTCAGCTAAATCCATCCTATTTAAACTGGAGCACCCTGAATGCTTATAAAACTGAATCTGTTCCAGACAAAATCCTGGGCTGTAGATACCAGAGGACACAAGGTACGTGGAGTTTAATCTCTTCAGTGCTGGACAGGATGATACAGTAGTGGTGTATACTGCACACAAATAGAGCTGCTTCAGTGGATGTCAGAACAGAGCAGCTGTCAGTGTGCATCTGGAAACTGCTAAAGACTTGGGGTTTTGTCGTGATTCAAGAAAATTCAAATAAGTACTCAGTTTTTTTAAAGGAGAGGTAGAACCTTCTAAAAATCACGTCTGTATAATGGAGCAGACAGAAATGTGTACCACAATTTCCTACTCTTCCTCTAGGATGGCTTGCATGGATTTAGCTACATGCTGCACTCTTGTTTGCATGACTGGAACTTGTACTTTACCTGGAGATTTTCCTGAAGGTCCTTGATCTCTCTTTGTTTGTTTCTGTATTTTTTCTCAACATCCTTTTTCTCCTTCTCTAGTTGAAATATTTCTTCATCTTCCTCACCTGTCATCCCAAACAATGAGGCAGCATTATTGCTGGACAAGCAATGTATGCAACTGAATTTTTACTTGAATATACATTGCACCTTAAACATCACAGAGTATTACCATATTGGTGTTGGCAGTATTTCAGAGACCTCATGGTTTGAGGGTTGTTTTTCTAAATACTCTCCTACTAATTCCAAATCACTGTGGAAAAGTAACTAGCTTTGTGAGGGAGGGTGGTTTAAGAGCTACTGGTTCCAGAGCCAGCAGAGGGCACAAAAGTTAAATAATGAAGTATTTTCTAGAATTGAGTTTCTGTAATTTCTCATAGTAATTGTTTTTAGACACTAAACAACCAAAGTTCCCCCGAAAGAGCAAGCTTATGTGGCATCAGAAACCACAGCCGAAGATATTTTTCAGAATTCTGAGGAATTTCCAGTATCCAAAAACTTGTAGTTAGGTAGTCCATGCCTAAATCTGCTGACACTACAGTAAAACAGTGCAGTGTAAGTTTTACTCTCCCTCATGTTCCTAAATGACAGCTCACTGCTTTTTCCCCAGTTCTGTGTGAAAATGGGAGATCATAAAGGTGTAACTATGGGATTAGTTTTCATCGCTACCATGTGTGTTCCTAAACTGCCTGTAGAGTTGGTGTGGGTACAGTTTTGTGCCTGAGCTGGCTCAGTATACCATATTGTGCCAGCAGTGGCACAACTTGTCCTGCTGCTGTGGTTTGAATTAGTAGCTGTGTGTGGCAGCATCACAGAGGGAGCAGTGCTTGCTGTGCCATGCAGTTATCTGCTACACCCATGTACTTCAGTGGGCAACTCCTTCATCTCAGTAATGATCCCCCCTGTAATCATCTTTATGCTTTGCCTCTTCTCCCTGTTCCTACTTATGACTATTTACAAAGTTTATATAGGCTTAGAGATTTTCACACAAATCTCAGAGAATGTAAATAGTAGTTAATTACAGTTGACTACACTTCTGTGCTTATTCTGCTGAACTATTCACAGCAGTTTGGGAATTACACTCCCTTTTGCTACTATCAGTTTAGTCTCTGTGATTCATTCTCTTGTGCCCTGGAATTTCCCCACCACATACTCAAGCTATATCATCATCCCTAACCCACAGAGCAAACAGCAATTTCTGTTTTACATACTTATCTCAGTGACTTCCTTGACAGAGCTGCGGTAATTGCTGTTGCACTCATTAAGTACACGTAAAGTGTTTTCCAGAGCTATGATTTCTTTTTCAGCTTGGCAGATCTTTGCATCCAAATCATCACCTTCCTGTTGAAGTAATTCTTTTTCCTGGGCAGCCTGAAAGCAAACCCAATATTTTAGGTAACTGTAAATATACTGAAAATATTAAGGCAATTATACAGAAAAAAAATACCACTCATATTTAGGGGTTAAAAATCCCTTGAACTGAGATTTGAGTTACTAGGGAACTGGAAGGAGTAGTTATTTATAGTATTGGAAGTTCCTTGAGGTATTTAATGATGGGTATCTGCATCTCCAGCTCAGCTGACTACGTCCTGACCAGCAATATCCACACCATCTGCAGAGCAGTCTCTTTGCCTTGCACTCCTGACAAGAACTGCAGCACATGCTTCACATCTGTTTCCTTCACCCACAAAATCCAAGTAAGAGTTGAGATTGTACATTATATCAAACCACTGAGAGACTGTAATAAGTCGTCCAGTTTGGGAATTACTTGTAACTCTTCATTTATCTGACTAGTGAGATTTAAGAAACATTCAGCAGGTGAAGTATTTTCTGCAGCCCCTTTGAAGATCTGTTATGTTGAGAAATGTCCATAGCTGTAGAGGGGATTTTATACATCCACAGTGACCACAGAGATTTAATGAAGGTCTTCTGCTGGGCTGGATCTCATAGTAGCACAAATACCATCACTAAGAAATTTAACACTTCAGAATAAGAAAAAGATGAACTTCAGAGCCAAGATCACAGCTAGAAGTTTTGCTTAAACAGGTAATCAGAGAATTTGTGGAGATCAAAAGTAACACATTCTTGTTCCAGAACCAGGATATTGCATTATGGATAAAGACTGATTTTGTCTTCTTCCCAGTTAAAAGCTGAAGTATGCGTAGGTGATTGATAAGTAGAAGGGGAAAACTGACATTCTTCAAGGTACAAACACCATATAAATACCCAAAAATAACTCAACAGGTAGAAGAATTTAAGATCATGTGAGTCTGTGATAAACTTATCAGTTCATAGTGTGTTACTGCTTGATCAGTAATTCTTGTGTCTTTGTAAATTAATGAGCGAATTAATTTACAAAGAAGTGTAAAGTGAAAGTTTTCAAAATGCTTAAAATTAAGGTTCTAAAGAGATTCATGTGAAGTTGCTGTATCATTTAAATAACCAGTGGTGTCAGATAATGTAAAACAATTAGACTCAAAGTAAGCAGGCGGCACAGAGGTTGTCTCAGGTATTTGAACAGAGCCCTGGGAAATCTGTAGCTTAAATACTTGAATCATAATGAATTATGTTAATAAAATACCTTAATTATATAGTAGGCATGAGTTTTCTCCTCCTCTCCTTCGGGTGGCATCATGGTTAATGTAAAAATTTCAAATCTGCGTCTCAGTTTGTCAATTTTACTCAGGCGATCATGGAATTCAGCACTGATTATTTGGGGAAAAAATAAATGGGTTGAGACAGTGTCTGTTAGTGCTTTGTGGGCAGTCTAAGTTGCTGGTGTTATTCCAGCAGGCTGTACCACGGGGCAGGCAGGGCAGCAGTTGTGCTGCTCCTGAGTGCTTTCTGTGTCCTCCCAGCCACAGACATCCGCTGTAGGGTTACCTACACTTCTTTTGCAGCTCTAAACTGAGTCAAATCTATTTTCATATTCCAGCTCATTACATCCTGGGAGGCTGTGCCACAGTCTCTCCCAAAATTTACAGGTTTGGCATTTCTGTCCTACAGCTGCCACAGCTGCTGCTGGTACCTTCACATTGCCACTGCTGGAGGAGCACAAGCAACAGCAGGGAACAACCCCAAATCAAATTACATGGAAGTACCAATTAGCTGGGTAATTACCAAAGGAAGAAAGCCACAGTCTGTGCTCTGGGTGAGCAGTTAAGCCTCAGTCACACTAAATCACTCTAATTTCCCATTGCGTGGGGTGTGGTTGGCAGGGGGTGAACAAGGCTTGACAGATTTCAGCAGTTCAGCTGCTGAAGTGTCGATTTTTGGCTGGATAGATTCACTGGGATTTCAGGGCTAAAACCCTCCCAGACTCTTTGCTCTGATTATTACCGGAGGGAAAAGTTATTTTGTGTGTTGTTGCTTTAAAAGAGGGTACATACATAATTCAGATTTAATTTGTTATATAGGACACATAATGGAGAGCTCATTAGTTAAAATGAAGAAAAAACCCAACCAAGCAAAAACCACCACAACCCAAACCAGACAGACTGTATGAACCAAAGAAATTAGAGTTTTATCAGCAGTTGGAAGTAAACTGTTTAAAAGCAATGGCCTGTATTAGGAACAGCGTGGTCAGCAGGACCAGGGAGGTGATTCTGCCCCTGGACTCGGTGCTGGTGAGGCCACACCTTGAGTATTGGGTGCAGTTCTGGGCCCTCAGTTCAGGAAGGATATTGAGGTGCTGGAGTGGGTCCAGAGAAGAGCAACGAGGTTGGTGAAGGGACTCGAGCACAAGTGCTGTGAGGAGAGGCTGAGGGAGCTGGGGGTGTTCAGCCTGGAGAAGAGGAGGCTCAGGGGAGACCTTATCACCCTCTACAACTCCCTGACAGGAGGTTGGAGTCAGGTGGGGGTTGGTCTCTTCTCCCAGGCAACCAGCAGCAGGACAAGAGGGCAAAGACTCAAGCTCTGCCTGGGGAGGGTTAGGTTGGATATTAGGAAGAGAGTTTTTACAGAGAGAGTGCTCAGGCATTGGGATGTGCTGCCCCAGGGAGGTGGTGGATTCATCATCCCTGAAGGTTTTCAAGGTGAGATTGGATGTGGCACTTAGTGCCATGGTCTAGTAACCACAGTAGTGTTGGACTCGATGATCTTTGAGATCTCTTCCAACCCAGCTGATTCTATGATTCTATGATTCTCTGTTTTGTACACTTTGTCATACCTCCAGACATATGATTTCACATTCCCAAATTATTTGGAAAATTGCAGAGTGACACATATGTGGCATTTGCTGTGCCTGAGGTTCCCTCTCAGTTCTGCACAGGATCCTCACCAACAGCATAGCCAGTGATTTGTACCCTGAGGGGTTAGAACTGCAGCCTGGGTGTCAGAGAAGGGATCTCGTCCTGGCCTCAGCTGTCTTGGTAGGTAACTTTGAGCAAGATTTATTTCATCTTTAGTTTCTCTAATGGTGAAATTGGGTGAAATGCTTCTCTTTTGCAGCAAGTCCCTACATTAAACCTCCTCAATAAAAGTTACCAGTTTAATTTATATAAGAACAGTTACCTTATGTGTTGCCGTTCTTGATCCACGAATCTTATCTGGGAATCCAGCATTGCCTTATGGACCTTAATTTCCTCATTTCTTTCTGCTATGGCTTTCTTTAAGGCCAAGTTTTCTTTTTCCAGTGTTAGAACTTTCTCTGCCTTATTACACAGAGTATCTTGAAGGCGCTTCAGTTCTAGTTTTAAGAGATTATCTTCTACCATCAGATCCTAATAAATGCCAAAAAAGGTATCAAAATAAGAAAGCATTGTTTTAATTAAGATTATTTGTAATTTAGTAAGTTAATATTTATCCATTATTTTACCTTTACTTATCCATTATTTTACCTTTACTATATATAAAACTGCAAGACTCATTTTTCTCTGCATTTTAAAACATTATTTTCTCATTTGGCAACAGTTTACATGGTGAGTGTGACAGGGGTAGATTGTTTCCTGAATGGCTTTATACAAATTATCAGACTTCCTAATTCAGACTGAGTTTTGGGCTGTTCGACTTGTCCATCTACAACTTTTTCAGTTTAGGTGTCTCAAATAAATTAAGAGACCTTACAAGGATCTTTCTGAAGCAGTTAGTATCCTACTTGTACCATTACAACTGTCTTGGAATATGTTCTCGATTCTGTAGGTCTGCAAGTCACATTGTGACATGACCAAATTCTGTATGTACCAAAGCTTATGAAAAGCAGCAAGGAGTGAACTTCATTAGCATGCAAACACTTTGAATCATTTTTAAAAAATCTCTTATGGATCCCAAACTCTGTACCAGTTTTTATCAGAGTTCTTTTAGGCCCTCAGCTTCTTTCTTTTGTTCCCCTGA